ATTCAATGAGCATAAAAAAAACCCTCCCATGTTTACCACCACTGCAACTAAAAAAAAAACAGTATATCCATTCAAAAAACTGTAATTTTAAACAAAGAACCTAACATCAATAAACATAAAATAAAAGAACCTATCTTAATTTGAAGAAAACAGCCCCACCCTAAATCAGTATCCCGGGGTACCATAATACTTATATTAGACTGTGAAGAAATATCCTGTCACGTGATCTCTGTAAAATACTTGAACAAGAGGATGACAAAATCTTGTTGAAAAAATCCTACAGTTGTGATAAAGTTTTTTCTTAAAAGTGGGTTCCTCGTTATCAAGTTTTAACAATCTGTTAAGCATCATACATGGTTCTAAAAATTGTCCAGTTAACTGATTTAGATGGGAATACTATAGTACTACTAATAGTCAGAACAAAATGCCAATTCTGGCAGTTCTCTGTAAAAAAAAAAACACAAACAAATAATAATCTGTGTGTTTTGCTAATTAGAGATATAATAATTTCAGTGAGCACTATCACATAATACACATTGTTATTGAAAAGTTCATTATGAAATGTGAATCAAATAATAATTGAATTACCATTTATTTTCAGATATGGGAAGAAAAAACTATTTGTGGATATATATATGAATTGTGATGGACTTGTTCTAATGACTTAGTAAAAATAAGTTAAATTATTGAATTAAGTAACACTAAAAAAATTTATATTTATAATAGTTATATTACTATAAATTGTGATGGACTTGTTCTCATGACTTAGTAAAAATAAGTTAAATTATTGAATTACGTAACACTAAAAATTTATATTTATAATAGTTATATTACTATATATATTGTGATGGACTTGTTCTAATGACAGTAAAAATAAGTTAAATTATTGAATTAAGTAACACTAAAAAATTTATATTTATAATAGTTATATTACTATATATATTGTGATGGACTTGTTCTAATGACAGTAAAAATAAGTTAAATTATTGAATTAAGTAACACTAAAAAAATTTATATTTATAATAGTTATATTACTATATATATTGTGATGGACTTGTTCTAATGACAGTAAAAATAAGTTAAATTATTGAATTAAGTAACACTAAACAATTTATATTTATAATAGTTATATTACTATATATATTGTGATGGACTTGTTCTAATGACAGTAAAAATAAGTTAAATTATTGAATTAAGTAACACT